ATATATATATTCTTTTAAACTAAACCAATGAAAATGTCACTGATTAAAGCAGTAATAAAATTTGATCAAAGATTGATGAGTATTTTATTGATCTCTAATAAAAATAATATTTTTACGCTTTGCTATTTTGTCTTATGTTTAATTACAATTATATGACAATAAAAGATATATTTCATTGAAAGATCAGCCATTAACTGATCACTAACTGATTCTTCTTAATAAGATTTCACTGTTTTCAGTGCTATATACTTATGAAATCATTGTTATTAGCGATAATACATTGATTCCGTTTAAGAGAATATTACAAGTGGTTAAAAATCAAACTCTTTAATGCTTTAAATTTTGAAAAAAGAACGTGAGCAATTCTCCACGTAATATATAATATTAATTCTAGTAATTAATAGAAAATAGTTTGTACTGTATAAGTATTATAGTATAGCTAAAATATTTTGTAGAAATTTCTTAAATAATAGCGCATTTTTGCAAAAATAAATCGATATAAATCGACATAAATTACAAATGCCATTTATCGTCGCATTGAAATAAATTAAGCAAGACGATTACATATTTTGTTTACATATGCGCGGGTGTGCTTTTATATAATATCACGAAATATTTAAGTTATAAAAAAAACTTATATTGTTAGATTTTATTCATGACACGTCCCACATTAATTTCAAGAGAAATGTGAGCTTCTCTCGTGCTTTAATCTACACATCTACTCCCTATACAAAGCACGAGTTTAGCAATTCTAATTACTCTTCATAATGACGTCAAATTTAATTATCGGAAACGCACTTGATAAAGATAAATTTTGCGCGATGTAATTTGAACAAATTTATCGTTCTTCGTTTATTAATTTAAACGATTATGGAACGCGTAGAAATCTGCAAAAAAATAAAATTTTTGTGAAATGATTCTTATTAATTTGTCGACATTATTTAAATTTTATGACAATGTCAATAATAATGTATAATTAGCAAAAATTATATATCTTGCAAATCTTTATATATAGTTAATAAAAGTATTAATTGCTTAAATCCCTCTGAATAATTTCAATTATGAAATATTTATAGAGATGAATCAATAACTCAATCTACTTGATGACACCGTCACTAACGCTAAAGTAAAACGACAACATAGATAATGAGTTAATTATACTTAATTATGTTTGTACAAGATTATTTCTACCAAGATGACAGAATTTTTGTTTAATCCTTGTTCAACGACGTGAAAATTTATATGTAGTCGCAGAAATATTACAAGTTATATTATATAGGAGAAAAAGAGAACGCGCGTATTTCTCTAGGAATATAAAATTTCTCTAGGAATTAGTTTTTATTGCATATAAAAGTAGAATCTTGATCGATAAGAAGATATTTACAAAATAGCAATACTCCGTTTCAAATTGAGATTGCGTAGATGAAAATCAAATAATTCTTAAATTTCTTTTTTATCCATATTGATCTTTATAAAATCACGAGAATTTTAAGTTAATTTTATTTAATAAACGCAATATTTTATCTTCGCAAAAGAGAAATACTAGAATGAATAGTATATGTATGCGCGCGTGTATGATAGTCTGACTCATCATTGATCGCTACTACTTAAAAGCATGCATAAATCTGTGCAGTGACTACTTGACACAGAAGGTGTCTCTTTAACTCCTCTTATAAAGTTTTTTCATCTAAGCCATAATTTTCAATGTATTTGACATATTACACATTCCATATTATAATTAATAAATTTTTACAATAAAATATAAAATAAAGATTTTAATTATTTGTATGGATTTTTTCATAGAAAATAAACACAGATGGCATAAAGTTTGAGTTTTCTAATAAAAATCACATATTGAAACTGCATCGATTCTTGGATACTCAAGTATCAACAATCAAATGTCACTTGGCAAATGACTCTTCTTGTTCTTTCGGAAACGTTTTCGCGTCAAAGTGACAAGATGACGATTGACAGCAGTAAAGCTGCAGCTTAACAGATGCAATTCTTCTATTGGTATTCTATAGGAGAAATTGCAGTGAATTTCCAACAGTGGCGCATATATGCCGATACGTCGGAGGCGTTGCGTCGGTCGTCCTCGGACGTCTTCGGGTATCGCGTCGACGTCCCATCGAGGCACAGCCGACAGTCGGTGGCCGGACGTCGCGACGCGCGTATCACATCGGCGTTAAGCGCGCGTCTACTTCCGCACAGGGGAGAGGGTGCCTCCGTTTTTACATGCAATCTCTGTAAAGAAGGAAAAAGATATCACTCAGATCCCCTCGTGAAAACTCCCGCGAAGGCCCATCTACGCGCGACCTCTTTCTCTCTTGTCAGATTGGAGAACCTCCGGTGAAAAGGGAGCACTGCGGAAATGCGTGACAGCTATCGTTGCTTACGCGGTTGACACTGATGGTCTGTATTTGAAAATTTTGTTACGTCAATGATCAGTGATTCTATCGTAAAAGGTGAAGGGGTTGAAGAGAGAAAAGGCTCGTTATTTAAATTATTGGGTGCTCGCACCACGAGAACGTAGGATTGGGAGGGATAAATGTAACGCGGGACGCAGGATGATCCTATCCTGCCGTTGTTCGAGTGAAAGATCTTTTATTATTTTATATATATTAAATCTTTTACGATAGAACTAATTAATATAGAAACACGCGAAAATAATTATCCCATCTAAATATAGTAAGAACAATTAAAGTTTAAAAAAATACGTTTAGTCTCGTATAATTGAAATATTTCAATGTTAAATTCAATAGGAATATATTTTTAAATGTACAAAAAAAATTAAAAAAAAAAACGGTAGAAATTCAACTGTTACTTTTTTTCCCGGGAAATAAATGGAGAAAATAAAACAAAAATAATGTATAACGGAATAATGAGTTATCATTATTCGAGTAGGTAGTTTTGTGTGAAAGATTCTGTATTTTTTATGATAATGAAAAAACAAAGGTTCTCTTTCCTCGATTAGAGTATCCATCTTTGCGAAAGTGTGGAAATAAAAATGTGATTATTCGGGGGGATGAAGAAATCTTACCATTACTAAATTAGCAAGCAAAGAGAGAAATTTTGTTTTGTATACATTATTAAAATTCTATAACAATTGCGGAAAATTGAGGCAATCTTCTTTAACATGGAGAAATAAAAATAAGGGTGATGAATAATAGTGTGTGGGAGTGGCAATCTCTGGATTATTCAAGAGGCGAAAAGACGTTTGTTTTTATATGTATGTGTAGCAGAATACTGCGGTGAAAGTTCAATGAGAGAGGGTACGAGTGATCGCGATGCAGGGTGAAGAAGGTAAAAGCGTCTGATGCGCAGCTTCAGAGAAGGCGCAGAATGGGAAATAAAATCTTGCCGCATTATTCGAGCTCTACGGAAGAAAGTTTCCATATTTTCGATGCAGATCCTTGCGGCAGTGTGAAATTTTCAGTTTGATACGCGCAAGAAAATTTCATTGTTATCTACTGAATAAAAATGAAAAATCATGGAGAACGATAGTGTTTTCGATATTACTTAGTGAAATAATTAACTCAAAATTACATAATTTTGATAAGTCGTGGCATATTTTTTTTTCTCTTTCGCTAAAAATGTAGATTAAATCTCCGATATCTGGGAGAAATATTAGACTCTTATCTATTACCCACTATCGAAGAAAACTTGTCGGGTAGTCGATTCACATCGATCGAATCCGTGGACAGGTTCGTGCGCGCAGGATCCTCATTTGCAGTGAGAATTTTTATTCTGTTTCTCACATCCATGCGATCTGTTCTATTGTATATTGCATTGCAATAAAATAAATAGAACATTAATTCACATTAATTCTGCATATTGCATATCTGCCTATATGGTTATATAGAATTATATACAATACAAAATTTACAAATATATATAATGTCGTAACTTTGATACTACTTTATTTCTTTATTGGTTGTAATACTATGAGCATTATATATATCTTCTCATATAAAATTATTAGGGAAATGACATGATTTTTATGAATGTTACGATATATATATAAATATTATGACACTACGTTTTTAATTAAATAATTATTAATAAAAGCTAGTTATGAATTCAAGATAAAAGAAATTAATTAGAATAAAAAAAAAAAACGACATGAAAGAAAGAATAAGAAGCTTTGTATAAGCTTTATGTGAATACATTTTATCCTACGTTATAGCAAAGTGTATAATTGAACACTTATGATACGCGTATGATTATACATTGCTATAGATATCATGCTTATAATTATAATGATCAATAGCACGTACGTATTATGTAAGTACCTGTCCTGCTCTGTAACTTGCTTACGGATAGCACGAATAACGACGTAAATTATGTAAATTTGGCATAATTATTTCGGTTAGAGAAAAAATAGGCTGATAATAATTATATGCTATATTTTAGCAGAACATGTAATGTCGGTAACAATTCGATTATTTTTATTCCGTATGAGAAGAATTATTTCATCGGATGAAAAAATGCGACTACTCTTCGCGCAGTTAAGATGTTCGTAAAGATGCTTGTGCGCGCGCTCTGTATGTGTGTGTGTTTGAACACATTACCGTTCAATTTCTTTTTCTTCTTCATCTCGTATTGTTCACTGAGCCCCACTTTACGGTAATATAAATCGCACTTAGTTCAATATTCACTGACGCGAGAATCTAGGATCTAGATCTTGCCATCGAGAGCTTTCATGTTTTATCGTGCTACATCTCTTTTTCGCGGAGACTTCTTCGCGATTTCTAAATCTAATAATGAAAATATTAGCAAAGAAAGAGAGAAAATATTGCGCATATATATTGCTTCGACACAGAGCGTTATTGATATAACTACATCAATATCTTAACTCTATTTGTATGCATTGAAATCGAAGAAACGAAGTATGCGAAACAAACAAATTTTTTATTAAGATTTAATTAACAAGAAATTAATTAACTTCTTATTCATTAAAAAAAATTGATCTTTTAATGGGAATGGCATGTGTTGAAAAACAGTATTGCGATAATTTTTTACGGACTTTTTAATTTCGCGTTTCTCTTTAAATATCCTATCTTATTTTATTTATCATCTACATTAGCAGAAATTGTATGAATAATTAAAAAAAACTTAACATACGCTGACCGTTTGTCTATGACTAAAATAAAAAAAGAAAGAAGCTGAGATCTTTCAAATACCATTGCTAGGAAGCGTGAATCAAGATTATGTCGGGAGGGCTTTTAAGCTTTTCAGTTTTTTTTCTTCTCCTCCCACAAAGTTTCTCGATTTGTTATTACAGCTTTTATCCTTTACCATGTCGGAAACTATCTGGCGATTTCTTCTTTCAGGTATACTTTTCGTTTTTATCTTTTATTCTTCTCGATTGATCGCCACCTGGAATTAAATCTTATTTTATTTCTCGGACTAATTACCAATATTATCATCATCTCAATCGTACAATTTTTATCATGGCTCAAAAAAATTCGTATAAAATAAATTGTTTGGTATGTATGATAATATCACATTTCTCTACTTTTATGATTATTTATAGATCCATTTTTTATCATGACGTTACAAACATATATATTTCAGAGTAATTGATTTTGTGATATCATCAATCACATCCTAATTAAATCTGTTTTAATAAACATAATCCGATACGTTATAAATTAATAATAAATAATTTTATTTCCTACTTAGGAAACGATGTAAAGTAATACCAGGATTTAAATGATTATATTCCTATATAGGATTTGCAAAAAACATGAAACATTTAAAATAGACTGAATTTATACTTAAAGATTGTAAATCGCATACAGATATGATTTATATAACATAATTAAAAATAATTGTCAAACGTTTTTTTTTTTAATTTTTTCTCTTGAATCTCTACATATGTTTTCAAACTCTCTCTCTCTCTCTCTCTCTCTCTCTCTATCCCTCTAGAAAAAACAAACTACTCTAAGAGTTTACACTATCACTTTCACAGCAATATTGACCAAAATACAGTTGTAATAACAAAAATAATAACTAACGAAATAAACAAGGAATGTTAGTAGAGAGCAACGTTATCAAATAAACAGTTAAATAAAAATAAAATACATTTTTTGGCTGATTCGCTGAATAAAGAATATGGCTATTTGTAATTTGTTTGCTATAGTATTGAGTTTTATTGCTATAATTACATAAATAACGAATGAAGTAGCTGCGTTAGAAACAGTCCTTGAAAGCCGATCATTTAAGTGAATTAGCCAGTAAATGTCGAAATGCAAATTTAATACGCTTACGCGTGTATAATAACTTTGGCCCGGTAACCAAATCAATGAAATTTCATTGAATCATTCGGATTACGCGGGCTTAATCGGATTTGTCATTAGTGAACAGGATAATAGTCCTTGTATATTTTTCCTCAACGGAATAATTTAATCGCGCTTAAGCGATCAAAAATGTTAATATCATTTATAGAATAAATGAATGTCCTCCCATGTGACCGAATATTATAATCGCTCGAATAATGCATTATTAATTAAACAATCAACTATTCTTTTCTTGATTTAACATTAAAGTAAATTATAAGAAACATATAATTTTTTATTTTTAAATACAGAAAAATTATTCTTTCGTTATATATTTCTTAAGATGACTCTTACATATTATTTCGTGACACTCTCGAGCTTGACTTTTCTCATGATTCCTCAATCGTAATTGGCAATGATCAAAGTTCATAGTCCAAAGGAATACTTGTCCATCTCACAAGCATGTTACCGATATGTAACACTGAATCTCCGCGCGCTATGTTATATCCTGTGCCAAGGATTCCATTAATTTCTCTCCATCCAAGTTCCTCGCAGCGGTCGTTGAAACAGTTGTCCTGAATAGTTTCCGAGGTTTGTGCAATGTTCGACGAAACTGCATCGAACGATCCAAATGCGTCGTCACATCAGGTGCTTCGCTATTATATACATTACATATCCCAAATAGTTTTCTAACACGTGACAAATTTATAAATGTCATTCAACACGACTGCACATTATACAGAGTTATACATAGCTTCAAAGTTATATCGGCAGAATAATAGGAATCTTATTCGCGTACACTTCTCTCATGAATTATTGTAGTACATCCGCTAATAATTTAAATGCTGCACAATTATATGATTCTGATGAATAATCCCTTAAAATCCCTTTGTGTTGCTTCATTATACAGTTGTTTACGTTTCAAATGGCCGCGACGGAAAATCCAATGGAATGTTTCGCGAACGTTAGAGCTAGACAAATCCCTGTAAATCAGGCTCTGTTTGCAGCAGTCACTCACCCATAATCCACACCATCTGACTCGGCAATCAAGCTGGATAGATATTGTCTTGATGAATAAAGTGTTGACAAAAATCTTTCGAAAGTGTCTCGCGGATTATCGTAGATTTTTCT